GAGCACTCTACCGTTGAGCTACAACCCCAGCCCCAGCCAGCCCTTTTTATTTTTTATTTTGAGATGGTCTCGCTAAGTTACTGAGGCTGGTTTTGAATTTGTGATCCTCCTGCCTCAGCTTCTTGAGCTCAGGGGATTATAGGCAGTGGCACACCAGCTTGTTTATGCCTTGTAAAAGATAGATAGAAAAAGTGGCAGCCCTGTCTTTTGACAGATGCCTTTGTCCTACAATCAAGAGGTCAAAGTGGCCTTTAAAAACGGTGAGGAGCCCTCAGACATCTTAAAATAGATACCGTCAATCCCCGGCACAGTGGCACATGCCTATAATCCCAGCAGAGTGGGAGGCTGAGGCAGGAAGATGACAAATTTGGAGCCAACCTCAGCAATTTAGCAAGGCCCTAAGCAACTTAGCAAGACCTTGTCTTTAAATTAAATATAAAAAGCTATGGGGATGTGACCCAGTGGTTAAGTACTCCTGGATTCAATCCCTGATATCAAAAAAAAAAAAAAAAAAAAAAAAGAGATACAGTCAGTCATGTTTGCCTTGGGAGTGGGTGAGAGGGAAGAGTTGGAGACATCTGGTCTCCAGGCTTCAAGCCTGGATGTTTGGCTCTTCACCCATATGAGGAGTACAAAGGGCTGTTGGTCTGTCGGGTCACCCAGGGACATGTCCAGCTCAGAGGGTCTGAGTGGAGATGTGCTGTCAGCACGGAGGTGTGGCTCTGTTCATGTACCTTGAAGACATTGGATTTTGGGGGCACAAACTGTAGTAGCTGTTGAGATTGTGAGGTGTGGGTGAGGAACTTGGGGGGAGGGTCAGAAGGTGCAGGGTGCACTGTGGGATGACAGAGACAAGCAAGAGAAGAGGAACCCAGGGAGAGSGAGAACTGGGGAAGAGTGACGCTGTGGGATCCTAGGGAGAGACTGGTCAGCAGTGTCAAATGGCACAGTCAGAATAGACTGGAGATCACTGGGTGAACTGAGAAACAAGGAAGAAGGTGGAAACAGTGGAAATAAGTTGGGCTATAGAGATGGTGGGAGAGTTTCTTCTGAGCCTGTAGCACACAGGTCTGTGGTTTTACTCCAGCAGTGCACGGCTTTGTGGTATGGGACAGGAATTTCCTTGGTTGGCCCAGAGTTGGGGGTCTTTCAGAGTGTGGCATTGAGCTTTTCCAGGAGTTCAGAGCCTAGCAGAATAAGGACAGTTGGAATTGCATTCTGCTGCTTTGGCAGATTGGGAGAGGAGATACTCTTTTGTTCCGCTATACCTTTTTTCTGTTCCTATTCTTTTTTTTTTTTTTTAAATCCATACTGTTGTGTGGTTGCAAAACAAGAAATTCAGAAAAGCCACTGGTAGTTTTGTTTTGCACAAGGGCTCAGATTCCATCTCACCTGGGCCTTCAGCACTGCCTCTGGTCTTCTCTTGGGGCCTCACCTCACCAGATTCTCTGCAGCATCTGGTCCATGTTGTCCTTCACTCCCAGCCCTCCCGGGGTCGCTTCACTTGTGCTTCCCTAGAGGTGGTCCAGAAAGCAGTCACACCTTTCAGAGCCCCTCTCCATGTTCCTGTGATCTTGGTGGAGCACCAGCCCACAGTCATTCTTCAGTCCCTACAACCCAGTTGTCAACACCACTGTCACCAGTGAACTGCTTACACAGACTGCCAGTGACCTCTTTGGGCAAATTCAGGACTTCTTCACTATTAACCTCCTTACTTCCCTATAGCACTTAACATTGCTGGTGATCCCTCTGCTTGATATGTCCTCTCTGGGCTTCTCTGACACCATCCCAGGTTGTCTTCTCTCCTGTCCCTGAAGTGGAGGTATTCTGTGCTGCTCTGCCCTGGGTCTTCATCTGCTCCACAGTTGGTTTTGGGTCACAGAGTGGTTTCACTTATTAACTTTCTTTGCATGTCTAGCTCTGGTCTTTTTTTTTTTTTTTTTTTTTTTTTTAGTTAATTCTAGACCAGATTTGATAAACTCTTTGACAGACACTTATTCATAATAGTCATTAGACTTCTACAAACAGTTTTAAATAATTTTTTTCCCAAGCATTGAGGCTAACCTCGACTCTCCTGCTTCCTTCACCCTGCCTCATCCCCACTCTTGCTAGGCAGGTGGCAGATCTGGATGATTCTTCCTGAGGGTGACCAGGAGCATTTTGTGTGTCAGGTTCTCACTGCCATTCCTCCTGCCGCTGCTGCTGGGTTCACAACCTCACCTTCTCACCTGGGAGTCTTCCAGTGGTTTCTGCATTTGTCCTGGAACTGCTGCCAGCACCAGCCAGAGTGCGGTGTTCCTTTCCTTGGTTGCCGCTCAGTTCTACAAAGTAGCGTCCAGCCTCAGTCTTGTACATTCCTAGCAACCTAAAACTCTGAAAACTCGTACTGTTCTAGGTATTCACCTTTGTTCTTGCTCTTCCATCTCTTTACCCTAGAAAATCCTTCAGGGCCCCATGCAAAGGTCATCTGTTTTGTGAGGTCCCCTTTTTGAGTCTAGAGTCAGTAAGGGATTAGGAGGAGGAGAGCAGGACTACAGTTGCCTTAGGAATGGCCACCATTTACAGAAGCACTGTTGTGGGACGGCCTCTTGAAGAACGCTTTCCCTGTTGTCACATTTCTGCCAGAGTCAGAGGTCCGGAGCTTGAGCTTTGGTGCAGAGCCCAGTTCTTCCTGTACTAGCTGTGTAGCTGTGGACAGGTTATTTCCTGTCTCGGCCTCAGTTGAGTCCAAGGGTTAAATGTGATAGCCACGTGGAAACAAGCAATAGACGGTTGCTGCTGACAAACTCAGTAGGAGATTATCAGCCCTCATGACCCTCTCCTGAGTGCTAAGCTCTGTTACGAACCCTGTTTCACCCGTGGTGGACTGGATCCAGGACACTGAGTGACTTGATCTGCTTCTCCCAGCACGTGGCTGCAGGAGTGACAACTTGTCTTCTCACTCACAGTGTGTCTGAGTGCAGTGAACCTTGCTGAACTGAATCGCAAGATGGGTCTGAATCTCCAGAGTTGGAGAGGGGGAACTTTAGAAATTACCCCTGTGGGTCGGGCTCCAAATTCCTTAATAGGACGCCCATAGCCCAAGAGTTAATAACAAGAATAAACAAATGGGACTTACTTAAACTAAAAAGTTTTTTCTCAGCAAGAGAAACAATAAGAGAGGTAAATAGAGAGCCTACGTCCTGGGAACAAATTTTTACCCCTCACATTTCAGATAGAGCCCTAATATCCAGAATATACAAAGAACTCAAAAAATTAAACAATAAGATAACAAATAACCCAATCAACAAATGGGCCAAGGACCTGAACAGACACTTCACAGAGGAGGACATACAATCAATCAACAAGTACATGAAAAAATGCTCACCATCTCTAGCAGTCAGAGAAATGCAAATCAAAACCACCCTAAGATACCATCTCACTCCAGTAAAATTGGCAGCCATTATGAAATCAAACAACAATAAGTGTTGTCGAGGATGTGGGGAAAAGGGTACACTTGTACATTGCTGGTGGGACTGCAAATTGGTAAGGTTAATTTGGAAAGCAGTATGGAGATTCCTGGGAAAGCTGGGAATGGATCCACCATTTGACCCAGCTATCGCCCTTCTCGGACTATTCCCTGAGGATCTTAAAAGAGATCTATACTATACTATAGGGATACTGCCACATCAATGATCATAGCTGCACAATTCACAATAGCTAGACTGTGGTACCAACCTAGATGCCCTTCAATAGATGAATGGATAAAAAAATGTGGCATCCATACACAAATGGAGTATTACGAAGCACTAAAAAGTGACAAAATCATGGAATTTGCAGGGAAATGGATGGCATTAGAGCAGATTATGCTAATCGAAGGTAGCCAATCCTTAAAAAACAAATGCCAAATGTCTTCTTTGATTTAAAGAGAGCAACTAAGAACAGAACAGGGAGGAAGAGCATGAGAAAAAGATTAACATTAAACAGAGACGAGTGGGGGGAGAGAAGGGGAGAGAGAATGGAAAGCATATGGAAATGGTAGGAGACCCTCAATGTTACACAAAATTACATATAAGAGGTTGTGAGGGAAATGGGGGGGGAAACAAGGGAGAGAATTGAACAACAGCAGATGAGGTAGAGAGGGAAGATGGGAGGGGAGGGGAGGGGGGATAGTAGGGGATAGGAAAGGTAGCAAAATACAACAGTCACTAATATGCCATTATGTAAAAATGTGAGTGTGTAACCGATGTGATTCTGCAATTTGTATTTGGGGTAAAAATGGGAGTTCATCACCCACTTGAGTCAAATGTATGAAAGATGATATGTCATGAGTTTTGTAATGTTTTGAACAACCAATAAAAAAAAAAAAAGAAATTACCCCTGTGCAGGGGTGGCAATTAAAGTCCCCTTTCTTTTGAAGCCCTTTCACCTTTTCAACCCCACCAGCAGTAGCTGTGTGTGCCTTTGTGACCGAAGAGACATGTTCTCTTTCACCCTTTTCTGAAATTTTTATTTTGGAAATTTTCATATATTCATCTTCTTTCCCCCAAATGGCTTATAACCTCTTTATAATTTTGTGTATTAATTTCTGTCCCTTTATAGTCTGTTTTTTTGTTGTTGTTATTGTGTTTTTTTCCTAAGATAGCAGATCAAATCTTAGTAACATTTTATCTTATTCTCAAAAAGATATTTTCAACCATCTCTAAGTAATGACCAACCAATATATTTGTTTATTTTATTTAAATTGGATTAAGAAAGTACTATTTTCTTCACGTTTTCTAGATGAAGCATACTATGTCAAATGTGGTTTTTAAAACCATACCTTTCCTGTCGCTCCATTTCTTGCCATTCCTTCCCTCTGCCTTTTAGGGCCCTGGAACACACCTGTGCCTGCACTTTCCTGTTGCCTTCTCTCATTTTACAGCTGAGCCAACAGGGGGCCTCCTTACAGTGTGTCTCAGTTCATGTCTGACCAAGCCCAGGGTATAAGAGTCTAAATGCTCTGTGCTTTCTCCTGACAGGGCTGAAAAGCTGCAGCTGCTGAATCACAGGCCTGTGACTGCTGTTGAGATCCAGCTGGTGAGTGAGAATCTTGGGCTCCAGAGTGTTTTCTGGGTCTGGAATCTGGAAGGGCTAAGCAGGAACTGCAGTTGTTTTGAAGAGGCTGCCCAGTCCCCGTTTTGTAAGAGAAAAGCGACCTCACCAGTTTGATCCTAGTTAGAATAGACTTAGAGAAAGTGCAGGAATTGGAGGAGGTTTGATTTCTCCCGTGGAGTTTGGCAGCTCTTTGCTGTCCTATTCTGGCCATTGTTTCCCTGCAGTGGTTATCATTGGCCAGATGTTGCATGAAAACATTAAACTCTGCCTAGTGGAGGTTATCTCCCCCTGTCCCTCCTTTCCTGGTTAGTGGTGTATGTGTACGTTTTCCCACACACTCATCCACTCTCCTGGCCTCATCTCTTCAGCCAGAAACCTGGAAGTCATCTCTCCCCTCATCTCACATTTAGTGAGTCCCCTCTGCTGTTGCTCCCACCTCCCACTTGCCTATTCTTTCTTCTCTCCCTGCTTCACGGCATTGATTTCTGTTATTGTTTCTTAGCCCTCCTCTTGCAGTTGTCCTCCCTCGTTCTCCCTGCCTCCTATGTGATCCCCTGCAGTTCCTTCCTCTGTGCCACGATCATAGATCATCTTTTAAGCCACAAGTGTGATTGCATTTCTCTGTACAGAGCTATTCGGTGGAGCCAGCATTTGTAAATTCCACATCGGAAATTTGCTTTAGAACTGGGGAGGGCGGCCAGATTGGGAGCCCCGAGGTGGTACGAGGAGACCGTGAAAATGAGGTCCAGTGATAAAGGAGTGACTGATCTGCTGGTATACCGAAGCAGCTTCCTTCTGGGCGTGGCAGCATGCTTCAGTAAGCTACAGGTACTGAGCAGAGTCTCTGACCATCATTAAAAAAACTTCAGTCTAGAGAGTTAATACAACAGCAGTAAAGACATTTCTGCCGGGCAGGTGACGCATGCCTATAATCCCAGTGGCTTAGGAGGCTGAGGCAAGAGGATTGTAAATTCAAAGCCAGCCTCAGCAAAAGTTAAGCAACTCAGTGAGACCCTGTCTCTGAATAAAATACAAAATAGGGCTGGGGATGTGGCTCAGTGGTTGAGTGCCCCTGAGTTCAATCCCTGGTACCCTCCCCCTCCAAAAAAAGAATAAAGCCATTTCCAAAGTTACTTTTATAGAAGTACTCAGCTTTTTGTGAAATTCTCCATAGAAAAGTATGTAAGAAAATGATTTAAAAAAAAAAAAACAACAAAACGTATGTTCTCTGGATTCTCTTGTTGCAGTTTTTCTTCAGAATTTTGACTAAAACCCTCATTKTCTTCCCAGAGTTGTTGCTGTTCTTCAACATGTGCCCAAAAATAAATTAGAAAAATTCCTTCCATTAGCATGCCTTTCTGGATGAATTGGCCTTTAGGCTAAATAGAGGTAATTTTTTTTTAAAGTATTCTCATTATTCTGATACTTTAGACTGTTGGGAGATTCAATTTACAGGACAGAAAAAAACAAAACAGTAAGAAACTAATCCCTGCCCCTCAGGGTCACAGATCACATGTCTTGTCTCCTCCAGCTTTAACCAGCAGCACATGGTACTCAAGCTGAGAACAGATGGAGAAGAGGAGGACAGCATGACCTCATCCCAGAGTCCATAGAAAGTTCTGTCATTAGTTGGTCAGATTAGCTGGACTTAGTGCCCTCACCCTTGTGTAGGAAGGGACAGTGTTCTCTCCACTTAGCCCAGAGGTTTGGAGTGTGGCCAATTAGGTCTCATTCAGAACCTCCCCTTCGTTCCTCCAAGCCATGTACTTTTGTCCCGTGTATTAACAGGGTTCTGGAGAGAGAGATGAAAGGATTTGGAGAGTGGGTCATGTGATTATGGAGGCCTAGAAGTTTCACAGACCTGGGGTACCAGCAACGTGGCTCAGTCCATATATGAAGGCCTCAGAACCAGGGAAGCTAATCAGGTGACTCGGAGACTGAAGGCTGAGAATCCAGGGGCTGCTGGTGTGAGTCCTGAGGTCCAGACACCACAGGACCTAGAGTTCTAATGTCCAAGGATAGGAGAAGACTGTCCCAGCTTCAGGAGGGAGAGTCCATGGCGTCCCCAGCCAGCTGGATGGTGCTTACCGACCTCAAAGGTGGATTTCCCCCTCCACCCACCAGCTCACACACCAGTCTTCCAGGAGCACCCTCACAGACATGACCAGAGCAGTGCCTTGCCAGTCCTCTAGGTGTTCTCGGTACAGTCAAGTTGACACCTGAAGTCAGCTGACACAGCTGGAGAGAAGAAAGTCTCTTCTCCCGTTCTCAGAGAGGTGGGCCTTGATCAAAACTCTTTCTGAGCAGTCGGACTGTTGCATAGCCAGATTCCTCCCATCCTAGGGTCTAGCTGCAGAAGGTAGCAGGTCATTTACCAGGGCCTCTAGCCCCATTTCCTCACTACAGACAGATGAGAAGGGAGGCATTCACAGTGGAAATGCAAGGACTAGAGACTTACTCTGTGTTGAACTCAGCACTATGGGTCTTCCTTGGTCCAGAAAGTATCCTGGCTCCCAGTGCTTTTTGGTATTGGGTTGGGAGCAGGCCTCTTGGAAGCTGAGACTCGCTGGTCTGGTTGTGCCTTGACAGTGGGAAGTGGGGCTGTCTCATGGCTTCTAGCACTCCCTGCCTAGCTTAAAGACACTGATGCGCCTTCTCTTTGCTTTGGTTTTACCTTGGAGAAAGCTGCAGTCGAAGAAGGTAGTCCACTGTTGTTAACATAGGGAGAAGTGACTGTTGGGGCCACAGGTTGGGCATCCCTTGTCCAAGATGCTTGGGACCACAGTGTTTTTCATTTTGGAATATTTGTATGTACGTGATGATACTCTGGGGACAGGCCCGCGTCTTTACCCAGRCTGTTCACGCTTCATAGCACCCTGTGCTACGTCTTTGCTGAGCCTCCATTGTAACTACAGGCTGTCGCATGCGGTCAGTGCAGGCTTTTCCACTGGAGGTATCATGTTGGCACTCAGAAAGGGCTAGATTTTAGGGCATTTCAGGTTTCAGGTAAGTTTCACTCTAATTAGGGTTTCACCTCTTTTTGAGGAAAGGAATGCATTAGGCTTGGCACCTTAAAATGAGAAACAGCCATGTTTGGAGTCCCAGCCCAGTTGGACAGACCCTGGGGATTAATATAATCATTGTATGAAATAAAAATTTATCATGACCCATCTGCCAGTACTTTGGATAGCTAACTTAATTTGCCTTTATATTCTGAACAACTGGAAACCCTTGGTATCAGAGAATATTAGTGTGCTGCTTTGTGCTTCCTTATTCAGGCTCTGTTTCTCTGTGTTGGAAGGAAAAGGTGAGGCATGGTGTAGCTGTCATTTATTCCACTGATCCAAGAGCTGTTAATACATTTTTTTCTAAAACTTCTTTGTGTATATTTTATTTAGCTCAATGCAGCTTAGGATTTCTTCTTGTGACTGGGGAAAAAAAAAGTTTTCTGACTGTGATGACCCCTGGGGTTTGGGTGCTGGCAGAAGCTTCTGCTCTTACCAGGTTTGCCATTTTGCTGATAAACACAGCTAGGTTACACCTGATCAGAGTTGCATGTGCCAAGCCAGAGACGAGGATGGAAGAAGGTGGCCTCTCTGGTTTTCTAAAGAAGAAGGCCCCCAGAGGACACATAGCCAGACTTTCAAACCAGTGGGCTGTAGTCTGTGTATAGCATCTTTGAGAGAGGAAAATGGTTAACCTCCTGTGGAGGCCATGGCATTCTAGACTGAGCTGCCATTTAGCACCAGAAGACCTCAAGCCTACTCGTTGAGGCCCAAGTGAAGTTTTTCTTAGAAAAAAACTCCCATATCCTGACTGTGTGCAGGGCTTTGGAGAAACACTGGTGTCTGTGATTGGAGGAGGGCCTCCTACACAGGGAAGCACTGTAAACTATTGGGAGGCTCTTTCTCAGCTGTCCAGACCAATGACTTTACACCTGGAGACATTCTTTTGTTGTAAAATAAAAAACAAATTGTGTGTCTCCCTGCTTCCCTCATTCTTTGAGGGAGTCTATATTTGATTACTGCTGTCACAGGACCTAATTTTGCATGTCTAATTTTATTTTTTATTTATTTATTTATTTTTAATATTTATTTTTTAGTTTTCGGCAAACACAACATCTTTGTTTGTATGTGGTGCTGAGGATCAAACCCGGGCCGCACGCATGCCAGGCGAGCGCGCTACCGCTTGAGCCACATCCCCAGCCCCAACATGTCTAATTTTAAAAATGCATTTTTGAACTGGGCATGGTGGAACACACCTGTAATTCTAGCTACTGAGGCAGGAGGATCACAAGTTCAAGGCCAGCCTGGGAAAATCACACCCTTTCTCAAAATTAAAAAATAAAAAGAGCTGGGGATGTAGCTCAGTAGTAAAGCACTCTGGGTTCAATTTCCAATACAACAAAAATAAATAAGGATGGGCTGGGGTTGTGACTCAGTGGCAGAGCACTTGCCTAGCACATGAGAGGCACTGGGTTCCATCCTCAGTACCATATAARAATAAATAAAATAAAGGTATGGTGTTCATCTACTAAAAACCAAATATTTGGAAAAGATGTACTTTTGAGGATTGTTCTTGATCAGCAAAGAAGTTGCATTTTACTGAGCCACTGAATCTTCAGAAAACGTCATTGTATTTCACTGCATGAAGGGAAGTAGCTGCCATTGGTTTGCTCAGGATCTTTCCCACTGTGATACCAGGGACAATTTTCTAGTTGTTGAGAAGCTGTTTGGCTGCTTTGTCAGGAGAGAGTGGTGTGCTCTTGGACTTGTCTGCTAACTTCTCTAATTTTTGTGCTATCATCTTGAAATAGGACAGTCAGACAGAGATTCTCTGAGGACTGTAAGCCTTGTTTTAAATCTGCCAGGATTTCTTTCTGGAATTCCTTTGGTACCTGTTGCCAGGTTTCAAGAGATTGCTGTGATACATACCATAGAACAGGCCCTCAGTCAGGAAGGTGGAGTCGAGAAAGGTGTGGTGACAGATGGTCCAGGCCCACTTGTGTACAGATTCTGTTCAAGATCCAAACCATCATGTGAAGAGTGTGAGGTGGTGGGCACTAGACTCGAGTGGGCGTGGCTTCAGATTCCAGTTCTGCCCCTGGCTAGGATTGCTGTGAGGGTTAAAAGAAGATAGTAGTCTTCATGCACAATGTGCATCCCCAGGTACATGGGAGGCCCCCCAAGGGATCTCCTGAGTGCTAGTAAGAATTAGGAGAAAGAGGAGTTATAGATACAGTTGATCAAGGTACAGATGTGTTTATAAAGTGCTGTTTCACTCCCCAGAGGTGGATTTTCTTTGCACAAAAAATCATTCATATCTGTATGTGGAAGTGGATGAGTATAGAATAATTAGGGGGTTTTTTTGGTTTTTTGAGAGTTTTTTTTTTTTTTAAAGATGAACATAATATTTTTCCTTTATTTTTTATGTGGTGCTGAGGATTGAAACCAGTGCCTCACATGTGTGAGGCAAGCATTCTACCACTGAGCTATAACCTCAGCCCTTGATTAGGTTTTTTTGTTTGTTTGTTTTTGTTTTAATATGATCCTGCAAGTTGCAATTTGAGCATTTGCACTGACATGTCCTGGGATGGGACCTGGCTTTGCCCTACCCTGGAGCCTAGATGAAGAGGCTCCTGGGGACCAGGTGGCTCAGGACCCTGATGCTGAACTCTGGGAAGGGTGGGGCAGGATGGCTAGGCTCACTGTGACTCATGAAGACTTTCTTTCCTTGGGCAGATGGTGGAAGAGAGTGAAGAGCGGCTCACGGAGGAGCAGATTGAAGCTCTTCTCCACACTGTCATGAGCATTCTACCTGCAGGGCCAGAGGCTGAGCAGACAAAGAATGCCAGTAGCGATGCGGCAATGGATGAAGAGGACCCAGCATAGAGAAGCCCGGTGGCCATTTCCTGGACATACAAAGGATTGCTTATTTGACTTTACCCTCTATCCCAATAGGCCCAATTTCATGGTTAGTTGGGGGAAAAAAATCACAAAAATAAGCTGAAAAGAAATGTCTGTGCCTCAGGGAGAAGAAACATGGTGGAGGCAGCTGAGGTTGTCAGGGCAGAGAGCTGAAGAGGGGAGAACAACGACTGGACCTCTCTGTGGTAGAAATACTTCCTCTGTGGCCTTTGCCACAGCTGTGGGAGGTCTGTATACACAGATGGCAAAATGCTCTTGCCTTTGATGGGCTCTGTCTTAATGAATTTAATCTGCTTCCCTAGGAACTTCCCAAGTCCCAAGCTCAGTGTGCTGTTGGGATGTGAGCTGAACTGTGAGAACAATTAGCTGGCTCAAGACTCCCAGAGCAGCACATAGTGGCTCTAGATTAAAATGAACCACAAAGTTGGCTCACCTTAAAGGAACTTCCTTGAGAGCAGAGATAAGAAAAAGAGATAAGACTGTGTCCAGCCTGCCCTTCTGAGGTTTTCTAAATGCCCCTTTCTTTTGCCCAAACAGACTTTGTTTACTGACCTACTAATGAGTCTTGAATGTTAGAGACCAGCTCATTCCAATTCAAGGCAGAAATTCTAAACAGTATGACAGTGGCAACAGGAATACTGTGTTGGCTATCTTTCTGACTGAGTCAGCAGCCCAGGCCACACAGTGCCTGTTGAGACCAGGTGAGCTTTGTTTGCATGATGGGCAAGTCATTTACACCTTTAAAAGGGGCACAGTTATGTAGCTCTTTTGTGAACAGATCATGTAAAAACTGGAGGTTGAAAAAATAAACCAGAAGATGATTAATAAAGAGTTTGGATTTGCTTTTTATTGCAAGTTTGCATCAATTTTTTGATGTAAAATATTAAGATAATTACAGTCAAGACATTTTAAGTGCTCTTTGGAAAGTTTATTTGTTCCAAGTATGCAATTGCCTTAGATCCTAGGAGTCTTGCTTAAAGTCTGATTTCTTGCATTCACTGGTCCCTGTTTGGGGAAGAAAATGCCCATAAACATTAATTTTCCAAATTGGTACTCATTTTGTTTAAAAGTTACTTGGATTACCTCTGCCCCTTATATTTCCCAGTCCATTTCAGACCTTTCTTCTCCACTTGCAAGCAGTTGCATTGTGTCTGTCTCCACTGCCTGAGGATCCACTGAAATGGCTTGCAGGTGGCATTGGGTATACCAGGAGAGTTTATGCTAAGCTTTTCAGGTCTGGAGTTTCATCTGGACCCTATTGATTATCTGTCAGGGCATCCAGGTGCAGGTGTCATTTTTCTTCAAGAGTTTATGTTGTTACAGATTGAAAAAGTAAAATACGATTTAAAGGATAAAATATGATTTTTCAAAAAAGGTTGAATCTGTTCTAAATTCTTTATTGGATTTCAAGAAAATTTTGTCTCTATATTTGGGGCCTGAATTTAGCCTCAGCAATCAGTCTCTGGAAGACTTAACCTTTATCAGAACATATCTAACATGCATGAGAAATACATACACTCTAATGTATATATTCCTGCCATGTTAAATGTTTCAGAAATAAGGTCATTTTATATAAGAAAACCAAGATCACATCGGGACCGGAGCTTGCTTTTCATTTTGTATCTTTCTGTACTGTTTTAATTTTTGGCTATGTGACTGTTTTAGTCTTTAAAAAAAAAAAAAATGTCCATTTGCTTGTTGCTCTTGGAATTGACAGTTGAATTTTCCTGAATGGAGGCTGAACCCAGCCCAGGCACTCTTGCCTTCTGGGAGGAGCTTGGAAGACTGCAGCATCTGACTAGGCCAGTGTCTGGCCTAGTGGCTGTCATTGGATGTTACGTATGTAGATCTCTTTCGTTGTTCTTGACTTGTGTCGTCTTCTTACTTAGTTTGCTGGACAGAGTAAAGAGGAGACTTGTATTTGTAATGCCGCCAGCCTCAGCAACTTACTGAGACCCTGTCTTTAAAAAATAAAAAAGACTGGGGATGTAGCTGAGTGTTAAAGTGCCTCTGGTTTCAGTCACCAGTACCAACAAAAAAGGGCAGAAAGCAAGAAAAAGATTATTCAAAACTGTCTCTTTTTCTTATCTCTGCTCTCAAGAAAAAAAAACTATGGATTCCAGAAAGCAATGGAATGATGTATTTAAGAAACTGAAATAAAAAAAACTATCAACCAAGAAAATTTTGTACCTGAAAGTCTCCTTCAAATAGGAAGAACTACCTCACACCAATTAGAATAGCTAATCTTAAACGACAATAGCAAAAAGGTATGGAGAAACTGAAACCTTTGTGTACTGTTGGTGGCAATGTGAAATGGCATAGCTGCTCTGAGAGGCAATATGACAGTTCATCAGAAAATTAAAAGAGAAGCACCATATCCTATTCCATTTCTTGGTGTATATGCAAAAGAATTGAGAGCAGAGTCTTGAGATATCTATCATAACCATGTTCACAGCAGCATTGTTCACACCTGTGAAACAGTCCAGCTGTCTATTGATGGGTGCATCAGTGAGCCAGATGTGTCACACACGCTCAGTGGAATGTTACTTAAACTTGAGAAAGAGGGAAATTCTTACATTCTGTGACATGGAATGAGAACATCATACTGAGTTAGCCAGCCACGATAAGGAAAACACTATGATTTAAAAATTTTTTTTAATATTTATTATTTTTTAGTTGTAGTTGGACACAATATCTTCATTACCTCACAATATCTTTATTAGCCTCACACGTGCTAGGCAAGCACTCTACTGCTGAGACACAATCCCAGCCCCGGAAAATACTATGATTCCACCTTCATGTGGTACTTAGTGTAGTCAGAATCATAGAAACAAAAACTAACATAGCGGTTGCCAAGAACTTGAGGGAGGAAGGAATGGGGAGACATTGTTTACTGGTGTGGAGTTTCAGATTTCACCAAATGAAAAGTTATGGAAAGGTATGATAGTGATGTTTCTCAACAGTTGGCATGTGTTTAACATCTCTGAACTAGACATTTAATGGCTAGGATGGTAAGTTTTTATGTGTGCTTTACTACAACAAGAAATTTAAGAGATTGTTATAACTTCAGATATTATATATGATTGCCCATGGTAACMACAAAGAAAATAGCTATAATGTGTACAAATGGAAATGAGAAGCTAGTTAAAACATGTTATAGTAACAAACTTAACTGAACAAAAAAGAAGGTAGTAATGGAGGAAATGAACAAAAACAATACATATAAAAATAGCAAAATGGCAAAAATAAGTCATTCCCTATTAGGACTTACTTTAAATGTAAATGGATTAAATTCTCCAATCAAAAGGCAAAAGTTGACAGGATAGATTTAGAAAACATGATCCAATGATATGCTATCACCAAGAGATTCACTTCAGATCTAACACACAAATAGGTTGGAAGTGAATGGGTAAAAAAATATATTTCTTGGAAATAGTAACGAAAAGAGAGCAGAAGTAAATATAGTAATATCAGGCAAAATATTCTAAATTTTAAATAAGAAGTTTACAATAAACAAAATGCTTTGTAAATAGTTTAAAAAAAGATATTGAGAGGTTCAACATGGCAAGAATATTTAACAATAATTATATGTTTACATCTGTAAAAATAGCCCATCCAAATACATGAGGCTAAAATTGACAATTGAAGAGAACAATGATTGCCTAATTATAGGAGACCTCAGTATTCCTTTCAATACAGAATAGAGAGGTGAGATTGGTAAAGAGATGCAGGACTCCAACAGCATCACTGACTGGGCCTAACAGACGTGAAGACATTTCCCTCAAAAACAACACAACACACACTTTCCAAGTGCATGTGGAACATTCTCCAGGAGGAAATATGTATCAGGATAAGATGAGACGATGCACTCTTTGTTGCAGCACTGGAGATTGAACCCAGGACACTTACCACTGAGCAACACCCCCAGCTCTTTTTATTCTTTGAGACGGGGCCTCCAGTTGCTGAGGCTGACCTCCAAATGTGATTCCCCTGCCTCCTGAGTAGCTGGGACCACAGAGCTGTGTGCTATTTGCCCAGATAAGAATAAATTTTTAATGAATTAATTATGCTGGGGATTGAACCCAGGACCTTGTGCATACGAGGCAAGCATTGTACCAACAGTCATATATCCAGTCCAAGAACAAATTTTAAAGTATGGTAATCATACAGACTCTCTTCTGATTGCCATGGAATGAAACTAGAAATCAGTAACAAAAGAACTGGAAAATTAAAGGCTTCTAGCTCAGTGGTAGAGCACTTGCCTTGCATGCATGAGATACTGGGTTCGATCCTAACACAACATAAATATATAAAAATAAGCCTAATAAAGGTATTGTGTTCATCTACAACTAAAAGTATTTTTTAAACTGGAAAATTAACAGTTATGTGGAAACTAAACAGGTTTATGAACCAATGATACAAAGAAATCACAAGGGAAATTAGAAAATGAGACAATGAAATCACATTCCATAATTTAAGGGATGTGGCAAAAGCAGTGCCAGTTGAAAATGAATAGTTGCAAATACTTCTATTTTAAAAAGAAACAAATTTGAAATCTATACGGATACCTTAAGGAAATGGGAAAAAGAGAACAAGTTAAAACCAAAGCTAACAGAAAAAATTAGATTTTATTGTTTTGAAAAACTTAAGAGGTAGGATTGTGGCTCAGTGATAGAGCATTTGGCTAGCATGTGTGAGGCACTGGATTCAATTCTCAATACCACATGTAAGTAAATAAAGGTCCATCAACAATAAAAAATATTTTTTAAAAACTTAGATAAGAATAAGAAAAAAATCAAAATCAAAATTTAGTTCTTTGAAAAGAGTAACAAATGAACAGTTAGCTAGATTGGCTAAGTGAAAAGAAAATTCAGATTGCTAAAATCAGAAAGAGGACCTTGCTACTGACTAAGGATTATAAGAAAGTATGATGGACAGCTAGCTGTACATCAGCAAATTTGACAACCAGAACGAAATGTGTAAATGCCTGCAAACCTGCCAGGCAAGTGCCAAGAAAGAAAAAATCTTGGGGATGCGAGTTTGGCTCTGGTAGAGCATGTGCTGAGCATTCATGAGGCCCTGACTCAATCCCCAACACCAGAAGATAAATGAAAAAGCTAAGAAAATCTCAGTAGACCACAGCTTTTAAAGACTGAATCTAGGGGTTAGGGCTGTGGCTCAGCGGTAGAGCACTTGCCTAGCATAGTGAGGCCCTGGGTTCAATCCCCAATACCACAAAAGTAAATAAACAAAGGTGTGTGTGTGTGTGCGCGCGCGCGCGCATGCATACATATGACTGAATCTATAATCAAAGCCCTGTGTTAAAGAAATGCCCTCCTGGGCTTCACTGATGAATTCTACCAAGCATCCTCCAAGATGCTGAAGAAGGGAAGTACTTCCTAACTGTGAGGCCAATACAAACCTCAATACCAAATCTAGATGTTACCTCCTCAAGAAGAGAGAGCTAAAGACCAATGTCCCTTCAAATTTTGATGCAGAATCCTCAAGAGATTACACTAGTGTATAAGGACAGTGATGCACTGTGACTTAATGATATTTGTTCCTGGATGCAAGAATGCCTCAAGTAAGAATCAGTAGGCATTATGTACCACATCAACAGAACAAGGGGGAGCCTGCCTACAGGCATATCAGCTCAGAAAAAGCAGGTGACAGGATACAAAATCAACACAGAAACTTCAGTTACATTTTCTTTTTTTTTAAATATTTTTTTTAAAGAGAGGAGAGAGAGAGAGAGAGAATTTATTTATCTATTTTTAGTTTTTCGTGGACACAACATCTTTGTTGGTATGTGGTGCTGAGAATCGAACCCGGGCCGCACGCATGCCAGGCGAGCGTGCTACCGCTTGAGCCACATCCCCAGCCCCCAGTTACATTTTCTTACCCCAACAACAAACAATCTGAAAATCAGTAAAACTATTCCATTTGTAACCACATTGGAAATAAAGAAGTTCCAACTACTTGGGATTTTGTGGTCTGAGGGTGTTGGTTGAGCCCAGGAGTTTGAAACAGCCTGGGCAGCATAGCAAGACCCTGTCTTTAAAAAATAGTTAAGATTCAAAATAACCAAGAAAAATATTTGAATACTTAAAAACAAAATAAAAGACTTTAAAACCTTGCTAAAGGAAATTAATACAAATCAATGGAAAACATTCCATGTTCTTTGTGTGTATGGTGCCGGGGATTAAATCCCAAGGCCTCCCGCTCTAGCTAGGCAAGTTCTCTGGCATTGAGCCACATCCCCAGCCCACATTCCATGTGAATTTTGGCTGACTAAATAAAGATACAGACACGGAAAGTACCCTTTTGGGTTTAGTGACCACTCCTTGGGCACAGCTTCCA